CAAGGGGCTGACGAATCTCTGGCAAAAAGGTCCACCTGGACTTTCCTTTTGGCTGGCTTGCCAAATTGTTACCGCGCCAGGTCTGTTTTTGCCCACCGCCCAGAAAGCCAAGCACCGAGACAACGAGATTGCAGAGAGACAGAGGGTTTAATCACAAGGCAGCCAAGTGAGGAAAATGGGAGAACAAGTCTCAAATCCGCCTCCCTGAAAATAGGGACTCGAGGGTATTTATGGAGAAAGGGGCAAGGTGGTCTGAAATGATTGGAGGTGAGGAGTGATGAGGTAATTGATGATCTGCGCAAGCGTAGTCAGCCTTCATGCTTCTTCGTACGTAGGACACATGTTCACAGAATGGCGGCATTAGCATGCCCTGAGGATGGAGTTCTAACCTCTTGCTGTCAAAAGGGCCCAGTTGATTGGTTAGTGGTCTCAATCCGGCCGAAGTAGACAAGCGGTTCAGTTCCTGAAAAAATAACTCAAACATCCATTACCATGGTGACCTTGACTCCAGGGGGATGTTACCTATAGGAACCTAGTGGGAGTCAGATAGCATATTACCTAAACAGCACAGCTAACAATGGGTAAGTTTATCATGCAGATTTAAGTCCTCATCTTCTGTTCTGATAAGTTTCTAGGTAAGGCCATCCCCCCTTCTTCCTGGTACAGGGAAGAAGATACCTTTACAGATGGAGATTTTCTTTTCAAATGTAAATGTCTCTCATAAAGGGTAACCAGAACTAAGAATGGGTTTAGCACGGACTCACCCAGAGACCGGAGATGTCTATGGTGATGGCCTATTCTGGGGGCAGGCCTCCCATCCCAAACTCCTTTGATTAGTTAGTGGGGGGTGGGGGCCAAAATGTCATTCAGGAGAGACATATTCTGAGCTGGCAAATTCCAATCCCCCATAGTTACTAGCTGCTTAATCATCAATGACTGTTTGCCGGTTTCAGTAAGTCACCACCAGCTTGGGCAGGCTACACCAGGGCTTCATTCATATTGTTACCTGATGCTTTAATGTCCACCATAATGGGGCGCTGGACCATCCATTTTTCAAAACTCTTCTCAATTAGCTGAGAGTTAGGGCTTTGTGGGAATTCCTGAGGATTGTACTTAGAGCAGGAACCATGTACAAAACATGGCCTGCTGTGCCTGATACAGCAGTTTGGCACTGAGCCTGATTCACTGGTGAACCAAGTGATCTATTAAGCAGCATTGATTTTGCCTCTGACCTTCCTGGGGGAAGGCCACTCTGCCTTCAGGTGCAGCCCAATTTAATCAGTTCTGAGAACTTGTTGCGTAGCCCCCCTTGTGGTCCTCTCTGAATCAGCATCATTCCAACGTTGTCTCTGGAGGACAGGCAACCTGAATTCTGTAACATTTCAGCTGACTGGTGGAGATATGGGAGATATGGATTCAGCAAGCTCTCCCTCAGCCTACCAAAAGGGCTCAGAGATACAGTGGGCCCTAAATGCTGCTGCTTGGGTGCATGAGCAGGGTTGTCTACAGCTCAGCTACCCTAACGAGCAAGACATTAGAAACAATCTGTCAGGCTCATCTTCAAACCATAGGTCCTGACTGTCTATAAAGAGTTATAAGTGTATGAGGAAGATAGGAGATTATACTGGATCACACATGAACTCCTTTGGAAGAGTGAGCAGGGGCCAGACTTGGGGGATCAGCAGTATTTTTAACATAAGATTAGATATTCTGCCCTTACCTCTGTCATTGGGCTGAAGGATGCCCTTAGAGATCTGTTTTCCTCGAACAATACCATGTACCCAAGGCGTAGGTATTAAGAGCAGTGATTAATTTACCCATTTTATAACAGCAACAGGGAAGGGCCCTTGGAATTGGTGTTTCCAGAAAATATGTCCAAAACTGACAGGGGCACTATGTCTGGCTAGCAGTTCAGTGCTGAGAGTTGGATTCCAAGGAGCTGGGCCTGGAGCCAGATCCCCTCTGAGACAATCCTAAGCCAGAGATGTTAGTCCAATCCAAAGCCCATTGGTAGAGTCAGACCTCAGGAAGACCAAGCCAAAAGGCCGAAGGCAGAATTGGAGTCAGACAGAGATTAGCTCGAAGCTACAGCAGATTGTCACAAACAAGGAAGGTTCTGTAGGGGAAGAAGGAGAATCTCCCTCTGCCCTTTCCCTTAAGGTTCTTATGGCTGGCCAAATAATTAACAAGACAGGTTAGCAGGAGAAAATAACACCAAGTTTAATAACATGTATACATTGGAGAAACCAGGGACACTGAGTTTCTCAACACAGTAGCAGAGATTCTCGTCTTAAATACCATCTTCAGCCAAAGACAAAGGAAGATGTTGGGGGTGGGGAGAGTCAGTTACGGGAGATTACCAGAAAAGCACAGTAAACAAGAGTAACATTATTATGCAGGTTTAAGGCCTCACCTTTTACTTCGATAAATTTTTAGAGATGAGGTCATCCCCCCCTCCTCCCAGCACAGAGAGGGAGACACCTTTACAAATGGAGATTTCCCTTATAAATGTAGATGTTTGTCTGGCAACTCCCAGCAGGGCCACCCAGAGAATGTGGCCAGGAAGAGACAGAATTTTGATAAGAGGGGCTTGGTGCCTTTCCTATTGTAACATCTATTTTACATTATATTATAGCCATCATGATAGTAACTCCTTCCTGAAACAGATCTTTTGTTTTAAATTCTTTAGGCAGTTTGGGAGGGGAAACTCAAATGTTCTTCCTGAGTTTTCTGAGTCTTTATTGTCTTCAGCTTAAAATAATCTGCATACCAGAGTGCTGCCTCTTGGGGTGGCCTGCCCTGAGCAACATCAGTTCAATGCAATTTCTTCCAAGAGCCATGTGGCTAATGTTTGTCTCTATGATACAGTGGGTGAGAGGAGGGCCCAAGGCAGTCCTTGTGATTAGCCTTGAGGCATCTGTATCAGTATAAGGGTTATGCAGGGGAGGTTGCCCCCAGCATACACAGAGGAAGTGATAACGCTAGAAGCCCAATGTCCAGTCCTTCCCAGTAGGATTGGGAATTTCCTACTGAAGGGTTTGAAATGGACCACAAAACATTAATCTATACTTGCCAGTGTCAAAACAGAGGGACGTTTTCTTCGCACATTTTAACTGAATATATTTATCTATTGAATGAATGAGGAGAGAGTCAGAAGGCTCAGATGTACACAGTTAACAGAGTACAGTCCTGATTTACTTAGGTTTCCACCTATTGGGGGAAGAGGAGGAATCCCTCTCTGCCCTTTCCCTTAAGGTTCTTATGGCTGGCCAAATAATTAATGAGACAGGTTAGCAGGAGAAAATAATACCAAGTTTAATAACATGTATACATGAGAGAAACCAGGGACATTGCATTTCTCAACACAATAGCAGAAATTCTCGTCTTAAATACCATGTTCAGCCAATGACAAAGGAGGATGTTGGGGGTGGGGGGAGTCAGTTACAGGAGATTACCACTAAAACACAGTAAACAAGAGTAAGGTTATTATGCAGATTTAAGGCCTCACTTTCCAGATTGATAAGCCTCTAGAAATGAGGCCATCCCCTCCTCTTCCCGAAATAGAGAGGGAGATACCTTTACAAATGGAGATTTCCCTTATAAATGTAAATGTTTGTCTGGCAACTCCTTGCAGGGCCATCCAGAGAATGTGGCCAGAGAGACAGAACTTCCGATAAGATGGGCTTGTTGGTGCCTTTCCTATTGTAACATTTATCCTGCATTATCTTTACAGCCATCATGATAGAAGATCTGTTCCAGGAAGGAGCCATCATGTCAAATTCTTTAGGCAGTTAGTGGGGGAGGTCAAATGTCCCTCAGAGAAAACAATCAAGGTAAAGAGATATATTTTGGGGTGGCCAAATCTTGATCTCCCACACACCCATAGTTAAAGTTATTTCATACAGCTATAAACCATGTGTAGAATTCCAGTTCCAGAACTCTCTGCTCTGAAAAACTTCCTTTAGGATTCAAAAAACAAAAAAGTTAGTAGCGTGTGCTGTATAGGCACAGTCATGTCACATGCTGCTGATCCAGGCTGAACAATGATAGCATTTACTTTCCAAAGAAGCTACCCAAGAAGGGAAAGCAAAACAGAAAGAGAAAAATGTGTGACTGGGAAAATAAGAAGAGAGTAACAGAGCTAGAGTAAAAGTGAAAATGTTTAACACAGTTTGTTTTCTCTGGTTTTCTTTTAGAAAAAGCTAGCATAATGCAATGGATTGTGTGATTGAGAATGAAGAAGCCTAGATAAGGGTTTTGCTTTAACCCACTAAATTGTTCTGTGACTATGGCAGGCTGCCTGCCCTCTTAGATCTCCCTTCCATCTATAATGTGGGGTTTATCTTTTACTTGCCTCCGGTTGGGAAACAGGATAAATGAGATTTTAAAAAGTATACAGTTCCGGGAAAATGTCGTAATATTCATTTTAAAATATGCCTATAATTTTGTCTTCTAAATTTCCTCTTTTACCTTCTTGTTTTCTGGAATATAGTTTGAGTCGAAATAAATGAAAGAGATTATTTTTTTTTCATATCTTCATTGCCTTGATATTTATGAAGTTTCCTAAAAAACTGAAAGATCTTATTGGATTTTGCAATGTTATGTGCTTAGTGAAGTAAATTATTAATAAGATAAATATAATTAATTTCCTTGATGTTTAACTTTATTTATTAGAGAAACATGTTTACCCTTCTATGTATTTTTTAAACCTTTTCTTCTTTCTCTGTTTGTTTTTGTTGATATTGTTTTCCCTGCTTCTTCTTTACAACTCTAATCAAACATGTCCACCTGTAGCATGAATAATTTGGAAGCTGGTATGCTATTTGGCCACAGGCTATCTCTATTATTTTTGGTGTTAAGAATGTGCTTAATCATCTACTATATAAATATGGGTAGTAGAAAAAAATATTCTAGATGGCTTGGTCCAGAACATCCCGAAGAAGTAGAGTATTGACTGTTGGGACTCTCAGTTCATTCATAGTGCATATTTCCTTTCTCAGAGAGAATCAGCTAATCAAGGTACATTGGCCCAAAAGTATCTTGAAGCCATGGCTATAATTGAACGCACGCAGGAGAAGTTAATGTAAGTATGAGGCACCACAATGGTTAGAAGATGAAGATTGCTGGCCAGGAGGTTTGGCTGAGAAATCCATACTGCTTGGCTTACTTTTGGTTCTCCTGCTTCCTTCATCCTCACTAGTGGGATGGGTATCTCCAAATCTTCTGCTAGAGACAGTGAACTACACTGCCCTAGTAAGAACATCTGTCCTCACCCACAGTGGAGACGGAGGAAGTCAAAGTGTGTATGTATGTGAGAGTATGAGGTGTTAGGAGCGATCCAATTCAGTATGTTTCTAAGAGATGAACTAGAGAAATAAATGAAGCTGGGACAAACTACTGTGCAAGAAAGAATGTTATTACATAACCCAAAGAGTAGGAAGGGCAATATAGTTAAGATGGCCAAGAATGCCAAAAGCAGAGCATAGCCATATGGACACATAACATGTGCTCTAGTAAGTAAGAAGCACATCTCCAACTGGTTTTCTTGATTGTAAAATCTTGTTTTAAAGGTGCTGGAAAAGAAGAGATCCTATTGGATTTAGTTTGTGGTCACATCAATGAAGAGAAGCCAAAATTAACTACTGAAAAGAGGTTCCTTGGCTATTGATGGAGAGTTCCAAATACCCAAAGTCACATTTCACTAAGAAATGATAATATGCTGTATTCTTAAATCACAGCATAACTGCAACTCTGACATTACCATCCAGAGTAGCTCTCAGGCCCCCAATTCTTGGCTAATCATTGATGCTACTGCTTCTCTTATTTGTACCCTTAAGATACATTCATCTAATCCCACTGCCCTTTTTAGACAATGAGCTTCAATACATGAAAGATACTTTTTTGAACCTTTCCATTTTGTTGTGTTTCTCTGGACTTTGTCCACATCAGAGAGGTAGAAAGCAGAGCCAGACAAGCAGAGGAGATGTTTGAGAATGTAAATGAGACACTTCATTATACCCTTATAAGAAATAAAGAATTGGAGAAAGAACTAGAAGAAATATTGATAAAGTCTAGAGAGAAGGAGTCTGAAAGAGAAGAAGAAGAAAATGAAAGAGAAAGAGAAGAAGAAAAAGAAGAAGAAGAAGAAGAAGAAGAAGGAGAAATCAGGCCAGTAGAAAGTTCCTCAAAATCTTTAAAGAAAGGTGAGGCCTGCTTTCTCATTTTGCTTTATTTAGGTTGTATTTATGAAAGAAAACTTGACTGGGTCACAAATATTTTAGAAGAGTATCAATATCTTTAGTGCTGATGTACTAGTTCATACTTCTCATAGGAATGCACATACATCTAACTATATAACCATCTTATTCAGACAACTCACAAAAAGGAAAAGCAAATGACTAACAACTGTAGACTAGTAAACTAACATAAGATAATTTTTACTTATAAAATTGGCAAAGATTTTTAAAGAGAAAAGAATACAATGCTGGTCAGAAGGGGCAAAGTAGTTAGTTTTACAGAAAGCCTTTGTGTGTGGACAGACAGATAACCCTTTCAGAAAATAATTTGAGTACAAATGGATATGCATTAAAAATATGCATATACTTAGACCTAATAATTTCACTCTTGAGAATCTAGTCTAAGGAAATAATCCTAAATATACACAAAAAATTAATGCACAAAGATGTTCAGTGTATCATTATATATAATAGGAAAAAATAGAAACAACCTACCTCTCCAATCATGGAAGCAAGGTTAAATAAATTATGCTTTATTAATATAACTGAATATTACACAACTATTGAAATGGTGTTTATAAGGAGTTTGTAATGACATGGGAAATTCTTATGTTAAAATATCAAATGCAAGAAACAGGATATGAAACAATTTTTTAAAGCTAGAAAAAAAGACCAGAAAGAAATACGCCCAAATATTGGCAGACATTGTCTCTGGTTGATGGAGGTTTATGGGGGAATTTTGCCTTTATTTTTCAGTACTTGTTGGATTTTCTATGATGAAAATAATCTCCTTTATTGTACAGGAAAAGGAATTTAATTCTCTGTTTTCTTATCTCTAATTAGTGCTGTAATCTGCCCTCAAGCAGTTGTCAATATCCCCAATATTGGAGACCATTTTTTGATTTTTGCTTTCATCTTCAACCTGTTGTCTGTTCCCAGGACAACTCCTGGTGCAAAGGATAATACCAGGAAGATATCTATTTTCTGTTTTTCTTTTCTATCTCCACCTACACCCCCAGCAAAAGCAGTAAGTTAACTAGTCCCTCAGTCTCTGGCCCCAGGTATGGTGTATCAACACTATTTAGAGGAAGAGTCTGAGCCCATTTTCTCTCTTTCTGTTAACTCTGAACTGGTAAAATGTTAATTATTCCAAGTGTGATGATCTTTTAGCTTTCTTTAGGTTTGAATATATGGGAGAGAGTTTTCATGAATTAAAAAAATTTCATCTTCTCATATTGTGGTGCAATTTTACCCTGATAATTTGAAAACTAGACTTTTTCCAGAGTGCAGAAAAATAAATATGCAAACCATACAAAAGGCCTATGTGTTAAACTGGAGAGGTTACCTGAATATGGAATAAGTGACTTTAGTTTTGTCTATTTCCATAAAGGTCCTGGGGGTTAGGTTAAATCCAGACTATAAAAGTTTCAATAATTTTAGGTACAGGATAACTATATACAGTTAGTCCCCAACCTGCAAATAATAACCTACACACAGAGTCACCCTTCCCCCTCCTTCCTGGTACCCTCATCAGAGTCATTGCCAGGGGGCTCAAAAGTGGAGGTGGAGAAGCTTTGCAAAGCTTAGGGGAATTGGCTCCTAAGTGAGGCAATCCCCATGCCATGCAAGTCACCTGAATATTTTCTCTGGAAAATCCATAAGTTAGACATTCCTTAGGGTTAGCAGGCAACTCCTTTAAAAAATGCAGGGCCGGCCCCGTGGCTTACCGGTTGGGTGCGCGCGCTCCGCTACTGGCGGCCTGGGTTCGGATCCCGGGCGCGCACTGACGCACTGCTTCTCCAGCCATGCTGAGGCCGCGTCCCACATACAGCAACTAGAAGGATGTGCAGCTATGACATACAACTGTCTACTGGGGCTTTGGGGGTAAAAAAAGGGAGGAGGATTGGCAATAGATGTTAGCTGAGAGCCAGTCTTCCTCAGCAAAAAAAGAGGAGGATTAGCACGGATGTTAGCTCAGGGCTGATCTTCCTCACACACACACACAAAAAACGCAGATGCCTCTGGAGCAGTCTGACACTCATAAGGCATATACAGTGTCATATTTGTATGAGTTAGTGCAGTGAGATGACTTTTCTCCTGACAGTTGTGCAGTGAAGGGATGGAAAAATATACACGGTAAAGGAAGGAGCCTTGTGAATGCTGAGTAAAGAGAAGATCTGGACAGAGTAGGGGGACATTTATTTTTGTTTAAGTCAATATTTTTAATAATTAGCAAATCATCATGCTCTGAACTGTGAATAAAGAAAGGAATCGAGAGGGGAGTTTACAAAGATGAATATGGCTTAGTCTCTGATCTCAAGGAGGCCTATGATTAGGAGTGGGGAGATAGATATACTAAAGCAAAACAAGGTGTGAACAAGGTGATCAAAGGTAGGAGAGAGCGGGCAGCAGCTGGTCGGCAGGATTCAATTGAGAAGCCTGATGTCATGGAACAGCCAGGGAGAGCAGGCTTGATGGCAGAAAGCCTCCTGCACCCATCCCGAGGGTGGGGCTTGTGCAGGGTCTATGCACCGGAGACTAGACAGAGGGACCAGGAGACAGAACAGGGGTGCAGGAATGGATATGGCAGGATTCCAGATACTAGCTCAATTTGAATTTTTTTTCCACCAAGCTTGGGATATATACAAGAAGGAAGAAGGAAATGTTCTTCCTCTTTCTCTTCTCTCCTTCACCACACAGTCCCCTTTTCCAGGTCCCAGACCTCAGGCACTTAACTGACAATGCTTAAACTTTGGGAAAATATGTTCTGAATCCCAATAACCAATTTAGAGTCAAATTTTGGGCAGATAGCCTGTTTGTAGCTTGGGGGTTACTCAGGCACAACAAGATTTTAAAAATATTTTGTAAAGTTAAAAGTCCTTAGCAAATATAAGATATTGTTACTACAATACTTTAATTGTTTTTGTTTTTTCAGGGGTACAGAACAAAGAGGGTCCTCCCAACACTAAATCCAGAACCCGGACTAAATTCAGTCACAAGACCAAACCCAAGCAGCTTCCATAGGGCGCTGGGCTTCACCATCTGTGCTACTGAGCTGACAACGTGGCTCGACTGGAGGGACTCCCTTTGCAACAGCTACTAGAAAAGCTACAACATACACCCCAAGAACAGTTTATCTTTAAAAGTAGTGGCTATAGGGAATCAGTGCATTATATTCCCCAGATTAAAAATAGCTTGTGCAAAAGTTTCCTAGCCTCTTCAATTGATTTCCTAACAGAGATCTGTGAAAAGTGTCAATTTCTATCAAGAAAATAATGCTTTTTGAAGACTTTGAACTCTGCAGAGAAGAGTGGCAAACAAAAAGCATTATTTTTTCTGTTTAAAAGAAAAGGATCCTGATAATATGCTTAGATTTCTGCAGCATTTTTAGATTGCTTATGATTTCAGGCATCCTTATGATTTATCTGATCTTCACAATAATGGTACAAAGTAGGTGAAGGAGATACTGTTATCCCCATTGCTGGGAAGATGAAACTGAGGCCCAAAATGGTTATAAGACTCCCTAAGGTCATAGAGCTGATGGGTATCAGAGGCCCCAGCTTGCTGGACCCGCCTCTAGATTGTTTGATAGCAGCGCTGAGCCTCCAGGCCATTGCTCAGATGGTTTCCTTCATAGGGGCCAGTGTTGCTGAAGATTCACCCAGAATCTCCATTTTTTGCTTTATTGTCTTGTTTGTCTGCTCTGTTCATGACCCTGGATCCATCTAGGCACTAGAGATGATCTAACCTGCAAAAATAAGTTTCAAATGATAAACGGACATTCTAGGCAATCACTCAGCAAGGGCTCCCTCCTGCCTCATTGCTCCTGCCTCACTTGCATTTGCTCTTATCTCTCTGGCTCCAAACACCTATGGTGAGATTTCTGCAATGCTTTGGCTCCACATATTTGGAGTTCCTTTGGATTTATCTCCTGGAATTTTAGACCTTTGCCTGCTCCTTAAGCCTCAGAAACTCCCTGACTGCAGAGCCCCCAGCCTTATTTAAGCCAAATCCCTGGCCAGGCCTACCCCTGGCCATCATCAAAGTGTGTATGGAATGGGTTTCAAAAATGCTTAGAGTCTACCTAAGCCTGCTGGATGACTCTTTAATTCTGGGGGAAGAAAACGTGAAATTCTTCATAGAGCTGGCTGTGCTCGTGGCCCAACTGAAAGCCCAAGCTGAGGCTATTGGCTTGAAGCGCTTACAGTTACCACCTGTGGGGGCATAGCTAGCCCTACCTTTTTGCCTTCCCAAAGAGATTCTTGGATGATTCTAGCAAATTTGGGGGTCTTTTGGTGGGCTTTAATACTTTTTTATTAATTTCCCACTTTGCAGGCATGAGTGGTCATTTCCATATAAATCAGCAGCCCTCATCTCTGAACAAGAGAGTCTTAATCACTCAGAATGTGTCAAAGGCTATCATGTCAGTTCCATTGGATGGAAAGTTTAGTCTCTAAATGCCAGAGTTATGCCTGCTGCCACCACAATAAGAATGAGATGTTTGGTACCATGGACCTACCAAATATTAGTTCGGGTGGTTTGGTTGTGAGCCATAGAAACCCACTCTTGCAAATACAAGTAAAAGGATAATTTATTGACAGCATGTTGGGGAGCTAAGGGGATTGAAGGGAAGTCTTAAAGAACCAGGCTAGGAACAGACAGGACCAGGTAGTTTTAGATCTCAGGAGCAAGAATTGCTTCACCATCTCATTCAGTTGCTACTGCCAAAAGAACTCCAATCATTTCTTCCATCCTTACGTTATTCTGCCAAAGTCTTAAGAAGGAGAAAGACTACCTTGTGGTCACACACCACCCCACGGATGTACCAGAAATGGTGAAAAGACTTCAGGGACCTCTCTAGCTTCCTTAAAGGGAAGGAAGGACACCTTGCTCTACTGTTCCACTAAGAAGAAACACAGTATAGGGAAAGGAAATGCCCAAAGAAAATCAGGGTGCTGGTAGGAAGGCATAATGAGTGTTAGGTGGTTAAAAAAATAAGCGCAATACAGGGAAGGCATCCACACTGCTGCTCCCCAGAAGCATGGGCAGCTCCACTTTCCCAAATAGCTGATTTGTAGGAAGTTTTAGATAGTCCTTGAGACTCTGGCACACCTTCTCAGGGTGACCCAGAGGTGGCCTGCCAAGCAGAGTGGAGGGAGGAGCTCTTGCTGCACACCTCTGGCAATTGGGCTGCCAGGTGAGGCTGTTGTGTTTGTGCTAAAGGAGACCAGCTACTCTGTGCTCAGATGTCCAGATGAAGCCATGCTGACCTCATCTCCAGAAAGCTGGCCTGGTCTTCCAGTAGAGAGGAAACTGGATGGGCCTCATCATACTCCTCTATGTCCCAGCCCCCGATCCCAGTGTTGACATGTTCCATGTCCCTGGGAAATGAGGTGGTAGTGTTTCAAGGTGCATACCATAGTGTGCTCAGGGACTTTGGAAGTTTGGTGAGTAAGCCCTCATCCACCAGGCCTGGCTCTTCACCACACACCCAGACCTACTCCATGCATGTGGGCACATGCAATTCTCTCCCAAGAGATCTGGTTCTACACTATGGTCCTACTGACTTGATCGTGATCTGGTCACTTGTCAGGTACTTTCTACACATTGAATGGGCTTTCCTCTTGTTCTTGGCCTTTCCTAGCTGGAGAATGACTCAGATATTACCTGGGTAACCTACATTTTCCGTTTCACTTTCAAAGACTGCTGGGAATTCTGCTTGCAGACCCCAAAGCTGTAGAGCACAGTCTGCCCACTTCTGGAATTCCAAATACGTGTGCCACCTACCACCAAGTATTTTCCCACAGGTAGCAGGGGAGTTTCTTTAAAATTAGGAGTATAACTGTTGTAGTCCTGCTGCCTAGGGCCTGCATGCCTGCAAAATGGGAGTGCTTGCTATCTGAGCCGGAGGCTGAGGGCCTCCATAGCCGTATTGATATGAAGCAGTGCCTAGAGTTAGTTCATCAGGACTTCCATCTCTGCCTCAGAAAAATACAGAGTTCATTCTAGCCAAGTCTACCACAGCCCCAAGACAATCTCCTGTTCAGGATTGCTGAGCAAGCCCCCTAATCCTCCTGACCTCAGAGACAAACTCTGTAGAGTACAAGTTTTCAAGAAGCAGGACTTCCTGGATGGTGCACTTGTCTAAGATGCGCATCTAAGGGCAAGACCAGTGAAGGCAGGTTTCCAGAGGTTCCCTGCGATCCCAGTATACAGCAGTGCCATTTTGCCTGGGCAGTGTTCCTGTTGTTCTCGAATGGCTGATGAAAGGACTCCTGCATGACTTTCTGGATTGCAGTTGCTTCTATTTGTTTGGAGAGCATCCTCTTGTATTTGCAGGGCTTGGGCCCCATGAGCCCCTGATCTGGCAAAGGTGTACTTTAGGCTACCTCTAGGCCAGCTGTGAGAAACACTTTCAAAAGTCTGAAGATAAAATCAGCAGTTCCCATGATCTGTCTCGCCAAAGGAAACTGCTTTTTGGTAGACCAGATATCCCCAAACCAGATGTCCAACAGATCCTGGAGTTTACAAGGTACAACTAGTAATCCATCCCCCATTTTCTACTCTGGCCACCCAAATAGTCAAACCTAGGCAAGAAAGAAAGAGGAGCTTGTCTGATTTCTGGCAGTAACTATTGCTCACCAGGAGAAGAAACTCCTCTCTTCTGTCTTGCTTTTGCTTTACTAGCATCCCAAAGAGCTGTACACCTTTGAAATAAATGCTTGAAATATCATGGCGGGATTCTAACACATGAGACCCCATGTGTAAGTTCTTTGGCTGATTCTGTCCAAGGACAACCTCCCTGGGGGCAGGGGCTACTAGCCATCAGGGCTACCTTTGAAGCATGGGGGCAACCTGTGGAGAGGGGGCCAGGCTCCTATTTGTTTGTTTGTTTGTTTTGTGAGGAGGGCTAGCCCTGAGCTAACATCCGATGCCAATCCTCTCTTTTTTTCCTTGAGGAAGAGTGGCCCTGAGCTAACATCTGAGCACATTTTCCTCTACTTTATATGGGACGCTGCCACAGCATGGCTTACCAAGCAGTGCGTCGGTGCACGCCCGGGATCCGAACCTGCGAACCCTGGGCCGCCAAAGCGGAGTACGCGCACTTAACTGCTTACGCCACCGGGTCGGCCCCGGCCAGGATCCTAGTTGGATGCAGCCTGATCATTTAGAGCTTCTGAGCTAAAACCAGAAAAACAATAATAGTCACCATTTACTGAGCATTTACCTTGCGTAAGCGCTGTGCTAAGTGCTTCACACATATTATCTCATTTAATCACAACAACTATTTGAGATGGGTTCTACTTTTACCCCCATTCATATCAGGATAAGCAGCATGTCTAAGGTTAAACATCTAGTTAGTGATAGAGTCTAGATCAAATCTGGCACGTCTGACAGCAGAATCCAGCTCTCAGTTACAGTGCTATCTTGCCTCTCCAAACTCAGAGGAAGCTGGAAGTGCAGTTGATCCCTCTTTCAAAGGATTTGACTTCCACATCGTCTGCTTATTACGAAGCTCAACTACTGAGCAAACGCACTGACAGACAAGCCAAAATTCTAGAGGACATCAGAACCCTTATAGTCCCAATAGACTCTGCTAAAAAACATTGTAGCAGCCAGGAGCAATCTAATGAGGAGCATACTTAGCCATCCAGACATGACCCCCAAGGATATGGAATGCAGAGGCACTGGAAGAATGAGCTGCTGGGCCTCCCACACATAGGGGAGTCCAAACTGCAGAGCTCCAGTGCTGCCTTGATACTACTGGTGAGCCAGAGTGGCCCTTGAAATTCTAAAGTGGGCCTGCAAAGCCTCCTTAGGAAGACCTCTTTCTGGTTATTTCAAGTCCAACAACCTGCAATACACCAGCCCTTAAGTCACATGCCTGCACAGTAAATGCAGGTCAGGTCTAGACAGACCAAAGAGTCACTGTCAATCCCCAAATGCCCTGGAATACCATTGTCATAGAATTTGTCATAGACTTGTCCCACTCTCACGGCCATGTCGTTTTAGTCATGGTGGACTCCAACACCAAATTGGAACACCTTTTATCAGCTTACTGTCTGAAGTAGGCTGAATGTTTGTATCCCACCCCCAAATTCATATGTTTAAATCCTAACCTCCAATGTGATGGTATTAGGATGTGGGGCCTTTGGTGGGTGATTAGGTCATGAAGATGGAGTCCTCATGAATGGGATTAGTGCCCTTATAAAAGAGACCTCAGAGAGCTCCCTTTCCCCTTATGCCATGTGAGGACACAGCAAGAAGATGGCTGTCTGTGAATCAGGAAGTGGGCCCTTGCCAGATGCCAAATCTGCTGGCATCTTGATCTTGGACTTCTCAGCCTCCAGCACTGTGAGAAATAAGTTTCTGTTGTTTATAAGCCACCCAGTCTATGGTATTCTGTTATAGTGCTCAAACTGACTAATATACTGCCCCTCTATTAATATTAAAGTAAATTTCCAGAGGGAAACTGTTCCCTAGTACATATCTTAGTTTTGGATTACACAGTCCAGCTTGTCCTCCACCCAGCATTTCAAGATCAGTAACTGGTTGGAATGCAGCACTGGGTCTCGAGAGAATTCTGCTGCTGGGACCTTGCAGACAGCACTATCAGTTCACCTAGCTAATCTCTGAAGGATTTGCCTTCGACTATTCACTATACCTTTTCACCCAGAACACAGTTTCATAGCAACTTCTACCCATTATTTCCTTCCCATCAAGCCCTCCCACCCCAACAGCTGGTTAAAACCTGAAGATACCATAGGCCACTCAAGCAGACCTGGAAGGTACCCTCTGGCAAGCTAATGAGAAATTTAAACATTGTCTAGAATTAGACATCAGAGGAGAATAACCAGTGGGTGATACCATAGGTACTCCCCAGATATATAGGTAAATCTGCCTTTGACAAAAAAAAAAACAAAAACATGCTACAAGGAATTATCAAGGGTCATAAAAGCCATTATTACATTATTACCCTCGCATCACTTCTAATTGTTCTATTCCTGGCTCTGGGTATGCCTGAACCAGCATGACCCTCCCTCCTTCTTCGTTACTCAAGCCAACATTTGCCAACCTGAGATCAGGAACCATCCACATGCGGTGAAAAGTGACCAACAACCCTTGATGTCATCTTAACTCCAATACCCAGTGCACTGGGATGGGTATGGGCCAAGACTGTGGTAATGAGAAATCCTTCCCACTTCAGGGATGCTCTAATTGCCATTGGCCCTTTAAATGGGCTAGACCATCTATGACCGTGCCCTGGCTGGTCCACAAAAGCAAACTGCAAACCCTAGTAGATTAGACATTCTAGGAAATCACCCAGGAGTTCCCCCTAACTCTTGTTTCATCCCTTGCTGCCTCCTCAGTGCTTGCTTTCCTCTCTCTGGCACCACACTGCTGGCTCTGGCAGATTTCATTACCTGCCTGTGTCCTACTTGGATTTGACAGCCTTTTGGATTCCACATTTTGTATTTTGACATTTCTGCACAGTTTAGAGCTTTGCCTGCTCCTTTGGCTTCACCACTGCCTGCAGCAGAGATTACTCAGTCTGCCCCTTTCAACACTGCCACTCCCCTACAACCAAGTAGGGTCCTTGGGAGTAGGGACTGGGGAAACCTCTTTTAATGAGATATGGAAATATTTTCTAAAACTGGATGAAATAGGCTTTTGAAACAAAATTCAAAGTTATCGTCTCAGTACATAATAACCGTATAAGCTGATTGCTATAACAATAAATGAATTTGGCATGGTTGTAGAATACATAGGTTTTGAAGTCATCTAATAGTCCCGCATAATCTTGGGAAGATGCATTGCTTGGCTAAAGTCCTAGGGCATAGCAGGGTTGGGCCAGAATGGTTTTCCCAGCTGTGGATGGAGGTGAGGAGGTGGCCTAGAGATGTAGGACAAAGATGACCCTCAGGTTGGCATTATTATATACTGCTATATTATAATATACTGCTAGGATGTTTTTGTTCTTTTTTTTTTTTTTTTTTTATAGAGGTCAGGAAGGTTGGCAGAGAGGGAAGGAATGAAGTGATTGAGAGATAACAGGTTAGGCAAAGCACCCTTGATCTTGGGCCTTATTTCTGTCACGTAAACATAGTGAGAAAACAGCCTGTCTCTAACAGACAGAATGCTACAAAGTTTCTATATCCATTGTAAGGATTTCAGAGTACATTTTCTCTCTGAAATAATGTTCAGCAGGGTTTTATGGGCTAACATCCGTAAACAAAAACCCTTTACGGGTGTTTTTATGCAAAATGTTTCAAGTTCCCACTAGGGCTAGCAGGAAGACATCTCCAATATAAAATAATAACATCAGATAACATGAAGAGTAAAGAGGGGGTTTGAAGGACAGAAAATCACCCAATAGTGAGGCAGTGGCGATAGTTACCATCATTTCTCTCTGTACCAGCAACATGGAAATTCCCGTTGTAAGTAGCATGTAAGTAACATGATTATTTTAGTCATATTTTTGTAATGTTAGTAATGTTTTATATGTTATTGATTTTTTTAAGTTTATAGAGGATCTGCTATATACCTTAGTATGCTTTCTTATTTACTTGGCTAATTTTTTCCTGTAGATATGTATTTCTAATTGTATAATGCAAGTTAATGGAAAATAAGACTGAAATGATATTATAGGAATGTATTCATATTAGGGAATATCTGTACAAGAAAAGAATACTTCAGGGCATGTATAGATCACATGTTATTACTGTTTGAAAAATAAGCAAGCTGGTAAATTCTATACTGAAAATACATCAGCTCCATACTTATAGCGATGCTTCCTCAGATTTTAAGCAACACGTGTCAGATAAATGTTTTTGTCCTTTTCTTTCTCTATTTAGGAAAGGAGTCTCCACAAAAAGAATTCCTTTTAAATTCTTTAATTAAGTGTAAATTTTATATCCAGCCCAAGTACATCTCTTTTTCTTTCATTCACTCAGGAACATTTAAGTGTCACTGTGGTGCAACTATCAGGGTTAGGTGCGAGGAATGTGGGGTGGAGTGTACAAGGTTGAGTGTGGTTGGGGGAGAATGACTAAGACGTGCCTTTGAGGAGTTCATAGCACTGTTGGAGAGAAGCCTGCATCTTAAGTCCAGGATTTCAACAGAGTGTGATAAGCACAATGATGGGGCATATAGAAAGGGCCATGGGAGCAGCAAAAAACCTTGCCAAAGGGGCCAGAGGACATACAGCAAAAGGACATTTGAACTATGTTTTCAGAAGTCAAAATTTAGCCACATATAGACTCAAAATTCTTTCCGAAGTAGAATGTTAGCTAAAGCTCTTTCCTGCAATTACTCTGATTAGATGATCCACCTAAACTTGTTACATGGCCTCTCTGTCATTACGTCATCTTCAGTCTTCTCACGTATGTTGCCGCATTGTGACTGCGTGCATTCCAAGGGCATTCCATATGGCAACCAAAGAGAGGGCAGGAAGGGAGGTCGGAGGGCCTCACTCAGGGATGTGGCTGTTAGGTGGCAGGCCCCTTTACAGTCACATTATCCCTGGCTCCTCCTATAACATGGGAGAGTCTTTCTTTTTAGGATTCAGTGGCTCAACAGGTTTGGAAGGATTTGGGAAAGGGATGCTTCCTTGGGTTCTGTTGCTGGGAGAAGACAGGAAATTTAGCAAGTCAAATGGCAAAGGTAAAACCACCGTGGAAGGTTTCTCTGTGGACAAGGATTGAAGGGTGTGGAGGTATCGAAGCTGAACAGCGGCTGGAGTGCCTGATAGAATCTCAGCTGCCATCCTCAGGGATTCCGAGGCAGCCTTCTCCCCTTCTGCAGCAATCATCTAGAGAACAGATGTCAAGAAAAGCAAAGGAATTTTTCTTCTTTGCTCCATGAAGGTTTAATCACTATTCAGTGAGACTCAACCAACAAGTACTGAGCATCTACTATGTGACAGGCGCTGTTAAGCACAGAACAGGCTGTCTTCTTTCTCAAGATCTTGATCTAGGGAGGCGAATTATACTGTTAATTGTAATTTAGGGCAGAATTTGTTAAGGGCCATGGCAGGTATAGATGAAGTGTTAGGGGAGTTATTAATTATGTCTAGTGGGCCTTGAAAGATTAGTAGGATTTTGCCATATAGAGAAAAGGTTGGCCGGCATTCCAGGTGAAGACACGGAATCCTGAAAGAATGCCTCCCAAATCGGGTTAGCATTTCAGAAGTCAGAGCGCCAAGCTCACCACCCAAATGCCACTTGAAAGTGGGCAAAGAGGACTAGACTCAGAGATCTAGAAGCAACTCTGCCCAGAGGACCACCTTCCTTGCTTCCTCCTCCCCAATGCTCCAAAGTTATCAACTGTCTTATGTTTTGGGGTTTTTTCTTCACCTACTTTCTGCTCTTTAAAAGAAATTTGCCTCCTCTTCAGTCTTCATTTTCTTCTTCCCAATACCCCATCTCACCCACATCTCAATCCTTAGGAGCTGCTGGCAGCCACATCTTCGCTTCTCACTGGCATGCCTGAGTAGAGGCTATGAGTAGCACAGCCTTCTCTTGGCTCTGGCATTGAGGGAATTGGGCCCTGATCATGGTTGTCCCTTCAGAGCTTGTGCAGGGCTAGGGATTCAGGTCTAGGTGTCATTTACCTAAAGGTGACAGGTGACTGATATTATCCAGGGAAAGATGCCAGCACGATAGAGGAGGGATGAAGTGCGAGGAGATGCATTTTTGGAGAGACAGTGAGTGAAAGACTCAAGGAGGAGGTGGTCACTGTTATCAATAGTCTCAGAGAGGGGGTGTAAGAGGAAAAGAGATGTTGCATTAGTCAGTTAGGAGGCTCTTAACACCCTTTAAGAGAGCAATTTTAATCGAGTTGTGGGGAGAGGCACAAGCCAGATTCTTCCCAGTGCCCGGAGGAGTGGGCGGTGGGAAGGCAAAGGGCAAATGCTCTCTGTAAGCAGGCCTTTTGGATGCTCCAGTGCTCCTCGAAGAGCAGCCGCGGGGGGAGGACGGCCTGCTCAGTGCTGGCTCACCCGCACTTTGGCCTGTCTCTGCGCTTCGGCTTCCACAGCCAGCGAGTGCTGAAGCCCGGCTGGCAGCCGCACATCCTTACTGAAAAAGAAAGAACACGTGGGCAGGTGGATACGCAGCACCGCTTTTGGCAGCCAGAGGTTTCATGCAGACCTGCCACCTTCTCTACTGTTTTCTCCTGATGCGTGGGAAACTCTGATTCAACAGAGTGTGCCGTCCCTAGACCTCTGGGTAGACGGTGGGCAGAGGGGGGCGTCTCAAGGGTCAGGGCCTCAAAGGCAGATTTTTACTATCACTGATGCTACAGCAGAGCTGTGGTTTTCTATTTACAAGTAAAACAAATTTTGTGTGTTATGTATCATGTATTATGTATTATGTTGATTTTTTCCCACTTAAAGTTTCTAAATCCCAGTTATTACAGTTGAATAATGAAAAACAGCCTTGAAGAGCCATACTATTAATAATAAGAATAAGGGAAGTAATCTAAATTTATAAAAGAGAATTGATTTTGAAAAGGATAGAACTGACCAAATAAGAACAATACTTAATATATTGCATAAAAGATACAAAATTGTACTTTTATCCTGATTTTATCTATGAAAAATACATAGAAAACAATTTGGCAGTTCTTCACAAAGTTAAATACAGAGTTACCATATGATCCAGTAATTCCACTCCTAGGTATATAATCAAGAGAACTGAAAATACGTTCACACAAAAACTTGCACATGAATGTTCATTGCAGCATTATTCATAATAGCCCCCAAATGGAAACAAACCAAACGTCCATCACTGATGAGCAGATAAACAAAATGTGGTGTAGCCACACAATGGAATATTATTCAGCCATAAAAAGGAATGAAGTACTGATTCATGCTACACCATGGATGAACCTTGAAAACATTATGTTAAGTGAAAGAAGCCAGACACCCAAGGCCACATATTATATGATTGTATTTATATGAAATGTCCAGAATAGCCAAATCCAGAGAGACAGAGAGTAGATTAGTGGGTGTCAGGGGCTGGCGGGTGAGGGGGCAATGAGGAGTGCCTGCTTAATGGGTGCAGGCTTTCTTTTTGGGGTGATGAAAATGTTCTGGAATTAGATGGTCGTGATGGTTGCACCACCCTGTGAATATACTAAAAACTACTGAGTTGTACTTTAAAATGGTTAAAATGGTGAGTTTTATGTTATGTGACTTTTATCTTAAAAAAAATATATTTTTAAATGCAGAGAGAAAATGTGAAAGTAATTTGCCCAAATGTTACGATGGTTGCGTCATGGCCATGAGGTCATAGGTAATTTTTTTCTCTTTTTTCCAAATTTATGCTAATATGGGTATGGTGCTCATTTAATGAAAATAATTTTTCAAACAAAAATTTTAAATGAAACCAAAATATTTCCCTTTATCATATTGTTCTTCTTGGTTAATTTCCTACCCACATTTCTGTTCTCTCCACTTTGATTCCCCAAATACAGGTCACTGAATCCAGGGCGACCTGTGGAGGGAAGAGTTAAGAAGTCAGTGAGAACAGCCAGGTGGGAGCAGAGCCTCCCGTGCACTGATGGCCATTGTTCTGTACGGAGAAAGCACATTGCTTTTGAAAGGACATTACTTCCCCGTTTTGTTTTAACATCACGGTGCCTTGCAAAAAGTTGTTTTAATTTGCACAGTGCCACTCGATAAATATTTGTGGAATTAAAGATGATGTGGTAGGCTGAATAACAACTCCCATAGACATCCATGTCTAATCCCTAGAACCTGTGAATGTTACCCAAAAGGGACTTTGCAGATGTGATTAAGTTAAAGGATTTTAAAATGAGGAGATTATCCTAGATCTTTCCAGTGGGCCCTGAATGCAATCACAAGTGTGTTTATAAGAGAGAAGTGGAGGGAGATCTGACCACAGAAGAAGAGAGGGTGGTGTGATGATGGAAGCAGAGATTGGAGTGATGTGCTTTGAAGATGGAGGAAGGGGTCACAAGCTAAAGAATGCAGGCCATTGCTAGAAGCTGAAGAAGGCCAGGAAACAGATTCTTCTCTCAAAACCTTCAGAAGGAACCAGCCCTGCTGACACCTTGACTTTGGCCCAGTGAAACTGATTTTGGACTTCTGGCCTTCAAAACTGTAAGAGATTAAATTGGTGTTGTTTTAGCCACCGAATTTGTGGTAATTTGCTACAGGAGCAATAGAAAATAATGCAGATGGTGTATTTGTTGAATCTGTTTTAAAATGCATTTATGAGAGAACCAGAGTTTCTAGTCTCTCTCCCAGATGGCTTTCATTCACAGGTGATTCCTCTTCCTTCCTGTTGGTGGCATCCATTTCCCCGACTTCCCAGTCCCAGGAGGGGGAAGAAAATGAACTGTGGGTTCTGGAAAAGAGGGGCAAGACTTGGAGCTCAGCATGTGGACTCATACATTTTTCCTTTTTAACTTATCTCTGATGATTTCCTAGTGGCTAGATAAATAGTTAGCTTAGTGCATTGAGAACCCTGAGAAGACTAATTTGGGGGTTGGTGAGAGAAAGGAATTTTGAAAAAGATGCCACAGAGGAGGTGGCATCTTAAAGAACAAACACGATTTTGCTTGTGGGGAAATGGGAAGTATTCCATGCAGAGGAAATAGCCTAAGAGGCTATTTGGAAGCATAAAAGTGCTGAACGCTGGAGAAACACCAAGTAGGCTGGAGTATTAGATACAGTGGGGGAAGGACAATGAGAGGTGAGGCTACCACAGTTGGGTCATTTATTCACTCATCCAAAAAACATCTGGCAGCTGTTCAACAAGCCATGTGCCAGGTGCTAAGGACAAAGAGATGAATAAAATATGACCCCTGCCAATGTGGAGTTCATAATTGGGGAAGACAAATGTATAAATAGATAGATTATAATTCAATGTAACAAAGGCAAGCTTGGATGTCAAGAGTCTGGACCCTATTGTTTATCCTTTAGAGGGGAGGGATGAACAGGATGAGAGACTGAAGGGGGACGGACGGGGAGCACACTTGAGTGGTTTTTAAATTCCAGAGCAGCAACTCCTGTGTGTGCTTCTTGTTCTAACATTTTCTTCTTTTTGGCTTCTCTTGTCTCCTGAGTTCTTCCCTTTTCCATCAGGATGCTAATCACAGTTTTATCAGCAACAAGTTGGACAAGTCACAAATATTTGGGAACTTTGTTTTCTCAGATTAGTGACTGCTCAGGCCCCATCAAGCACAATCATTATCAATGCCTTTGATTCTTAGATCCTTCTAGTGGAGGTTCTCCTTTCAGCTAGACTTGATTTTGTAACCTCCTAACTCAATTCTGGGCCTGAGTGCTCCATGGCCTCAATGCCAGGCTCCATCACTAGTGGTAATTGCCACTTGACTGGCCGGCTGCCTGGAATCCTGCTTAGTTCTCACCTCTCTTCTGAATACCTTTGCCAACTCATCTTGGTGAGAATCAAAGATGCCTACGCTGGCCTGGCCGTGGGAGAGGTTGCTAAGCTTGCTGCCTGCGGGCTAGAGGAGGCTGCTTGTGAGGCAGTTCTTGCTATTCTCCTCCTCCTGTCATCCAAATCAATTAAATCTAGATGATTGGTTGGGTAATTAATCATGTCAGGGTCTATGACATCTTACTAACTCTTTTGATCTGAAAGTCTTATTTGAACTTATCATTATTTAACTTGCTTATTTCCCAACTAGACTGTAAGCTCCCAGGAACCATTCCCTATCATCTTTGTAAACCACCAGCCCCTCCTGTCCAGCCCCACCACCCCTGCCAGCTCCCAATCTCACCACTTTGTGCTATGTGAGCACTTTACAATGAGTCTAAAGCCACTGGGTAGGGTTGAGAGCAAAAACTGTGCCAATGACTGAGTAATCAGCACCAGATTGGTGACTATGATTGGCTCAGGGTCGATTTGGCAACCTCTTACTTAGCTATCAGCTCCTTAAGGGATGGCCCCTTTAGCAGTGAATGCCTGGCACGTGGAAGATTCAATAACGGCCAATGAGGAAATGAAAAAAAGATAGAGATATTTCAACATATTCGACATTAAGTTTATCTAAGTACCTTTACATCTTGGGCAATGCTTTTCCTCTCCAGAAGAATTTCAGTGAGGGATCGATGTGCCAGGAGACGCTTCATGGTGGTTTGCACAAGGAATTGGACAGCTTTGGACACGTGAGCAAGACTCCTTAGGAGAAGAGAGGCATTTTCCATTCGGTAGTAGCAGACGGCATCTATCTCCATTATAAACATGTCTTTGGTCACAACCTAGGCAGAAAAGAAAGTTTGGATGACAGACCTGTTTCTTGGACTCCTTTCCCATGTGGGCACAGAGGAGCTAAATGTGTTCAAAGGGAATTTTCCCAGAGTAGGATTATAGCAAGAAAAAAGAGTAGTTGGCTCACCCTTGATTCAAAATTGACATGGTTTTGAAGATTATAGAGTTTTTATTAAATACACTAAAGAACTCGCAATTTAATCCTGTTGCAAATCCTTTTGTAAAAAAATCAGGAATAATTTTCTTATATGAAAGCATTCAGTTAATTGTCTATCAGGTCTTTTTAAACTGACGCCAGAAAAATGTGCTCAGAGAGAAGCACATTCTGGGAAACAAGCACTCTCCCGTTTTGCTTGCTGGGTGTACACTAGAGGGCAGATTGGTGACACACACCAAAAGCCCTAAAAGATGCCTGTTCTCGACATTTCCATTTTTAGACACTTATCACAAGGACATATTTTAAGGATTTAGCTGCAAGGATGTTATTCACAGTGTTGCAATAAGAAATTGGAAATAATATCAACCATAGGGAATTATAACTTGTAATACATCCATATAATGAAATGCTATGTGTCCACTTAAAATAAGGGGGTAGGAACATAGCTAATACATGAAGAGATGATCACAACAGATTGTTGAGTGAAAAAAGGCGTTACAAAAAAGTATGTAGGGTATGATATATATACCTGTCCGTAAATATAACCACACACATAGAAAAGCCTGAAAGGATATACTGCAATATATCGACACCTATCTATAGGTAATAGGATTAGGGGCAAATTTTATTTCTTCCTTTTTTACATTTATTATCTAAAATAAGACTTTTTAAAAATATATAATTTCTATTTACATTTCTATTTACCCACAGGAAGAGTGAGAAAGAATTTCAAACTGAAAGTGGAAGACAACATAGGAAAGGCTTATAAATCTGAATTACTAATAATCTAGATGTTGTCTTTACTTTTCTTTTAACTGTTAATTGTGGTAATCAAATTTGTCATCTTAACCTTTTTTTTTTGTATGTGTGAAGCAGATCAGCCCTGAGCTAACATCCGATGCCAATCCTCCCCTCTCTCTCTCTCTTTTTTTTTTTTGCTGAGGAAGATTGGCCCTGGGCTAACATCTGTGCCCATCTTCCTCTACTTTATATGGGATGCCACCACAGCATGGCCTGACAAGCGGTGTGTCGGTGTGCACCTGGGATCCGAACCTGTGAACCCCGGGCTGCCACAGCGGAGCATGCGCACCTAACCGCTTGTGCCACTGGGTCAGCTCCTCATCTTAACCATTTTTAACGTACAATTCAGTAGTGTTAAGTACATTCAAATTATAGTGCAACTAGTCTCCAGAGCTATTTTCATCTTGCAAAACTGAAACCCATTAAACAACAACTCCTTTATTCCTCCCTCCAACTCCTGCAACCACCATTCTACTTTTTGTCTCTATGAATTTGACTACTGTAGGTACCTCATATAAGTGGAATCATACAGCATTTGTCTTTTTGTGACTGGCTTATTTCACTTAGCATAATGTTCTCAAGGTTTATCCATGATGTAGCATATGTCAGAATTTCCTTCCTTTTTAAGGCTGAATAATATTCTATTGTAGGTATATACCACATTTTCTTTATCCATTCAGCTACTGATGAACACTTGGGTTGCTTTCACCTCTTGGCTATTGTGAATAATGCTGCTATGAACATAGGTGTACAAATATCTCTTCAAAACCTTGCTTTCCATTCTTTAGGGTATAAATGCAGAAGTGGAATTGCTGGATCAAATGGTAATTCTATTTTTAATTTTTTGTGTGTGTGAGGAAGATTAGCCCTGGGCTGACATCCGTGCCCACATTCCTCTACTTTATACGTGGGACACATATCAGCATGGCTTGATAAGCAGTGCATAGGTCTGCGCCCGGGATCCAAACCTGCAAACCTTGGGCCACTGAAGCAGAGCATGCAAACTTCACTACACCACCAGGCTGGCCCCTATTTTTAATTTTTTGAGGAACAACTGTACTGTTTTTCTACAGCAGCTGCACCATTTTACATTCCCACCAATGGTGTACAAGGGTTCCAATTTCTCTACATTTTCGCCAACACTTGTTATTTTTTGGTTTGTGTTTTTTTCTTTATAGTAGCCATCCTAATAGGTGTGAGGTGATATCTGATGGTGGTTTTGATTTGCATTTCTCTAGTGATTAGTGGTGTTGAACATCTCTTTATGTGTCCGTTGGCTATTTGTATATCTTCTTTGCAGAAATGTCTATTCAAGTCTGTATTAGTCAGGGCTCTCCAGAAAAACAGAATCATTAGGGGGTGTGTGTGTGTGTGTGAAGAGTGGGGGAGAGGGAGAGAGAGAGAGAAAGAGATTTAAAGAAATTGGCTTACATTGTAGAGCCTGACAAATCCAAAATCTTCAGGAGAGGCCAACAGGCTGAAAACCCAAGGAAGAGCTGAGACTGCAGCTAGAGTCTAAGAGCAGTCTGCTGGCAGAATTCCCTCCTCCTCAATGGGAGGTTAGTATTTTTCTTAAGGCCTTCAACATATTGGATGAGGCCCACCCACATTATGGAGGGTAATCTGCTATAAATCAGTAGATTTAAATATTAATCTTATCTAAAAAATACCTTCACAGCAACATCCAGATAATTTGACCAAATGTCTGGGTACCATAGCTTACCCAAGTTGACACATAAAATTAACCATCACAAAGTCCTTTGCCCACTTTTAATTGGGTTGTTTGCTTTCTTGTTCTTGAGTTATAAGATTTCTTTATATATTCCGGATATTAACCTCTTATGAGATATATTATTTGAAAATATTTTCTTCCATTCCATAGGTTGCCTGTTCCTTCTGTTGACTATGTCCTTTGAGGCACAGGAGTTTTTAAGTTTGATGTAGTTCATACCTCTACTTTCCTTTTCTACTTTTGAGCTTAAATAGTCATTTTGTCCTGGATGAGAATTGGTAGCTCAGCCAAATGTAGACAGGAAGCAAAATCCATCATTTGGCTTACCTCATGAAAAGGTATCTCCAAGGTTTGGAGACGAAGGTCAACCTTGTGGTAGGTGTCCAGGCAGGGCAAAAAGAAGAAAAGACCTACAGGATGGGGAGGGAGAAGTGACAGGTGAATGGCTAGCATGCAGACTGTTTGAGGTTCACCTTTTTGGGGTCAGGTTGCACACTGCCTTGCTTTTCTTAGCCTCCAACTACACAGACTATTGGGCACTACCTCCACCCCTATAGTGTGTTTTCTGTTGCTAAGTTTACCATATAATTTGTTGTTCAATCTGGCACACTTTTGAAAGTAAAAGGAGAATACTATTACAACTTACTCCAGGACAATAGGCATAAACATTGATTATCCCCAGTAAAATGGGCCATATGGTCACCTTGGTCATGGTGCTGACCCCTCCAGATCTTGTGTTACATGACTGTCTCCTTCACTAGATTTGAACTCCCTAACAAGAGTATCCTATGCACTATTGTTAGCTCTAGTGCCTGACTTAGTGCCTTTTAGGTGCTCTGTAAAATTATTTTTGAATTCTCGTATGTACCAAGGTGATAAACTTTAGAGCCAGCAACCTCCATGTGGTATTTCTTAAAATGTGAGCCCAAGAGGTAATCAGAATAGCAATATCATGATACCAGCCTTCTAGTTGGCTAGTTGTTTCTCATCCACCCAATGTAATGTACAGGGTCAATGTCAAATAAATATTTTTAGATTGATTTGAGATTTTCTGAGAGCCCTTTAGACACTGCGGGCTCCTGCAAGAGCCAAAGCTTTGTTGGAACCAGCAGCAACTCACAGAGCCCAGGATCTCTCTAAAGATCAGCCCAATTACTAGCCCTTTCTAGCTCCAATCAAGAAGTATGCCGAAAACTAGAATCAGAACAGACAGTCCTGTCCTGAACACAGGGTCTGGTTCTACTTTTGTGTGGACCCATCTGTTGGTTCTGAATCTTCAAACTCTGATTTGTATCTTCTAGTTTGATCTCTATTCTCTACCATTTTCTGTAAACCTAGCTTGGAACTTGGACCCTTTCCAATAGATGCACAGTGACACTCTGCTCCTTCTCATGCCTTCCTGGCTAGCTTGGATGTCCAAACCCCAACTACTAGACTTTTCCGACAAACCATACTTCTATCTGTGCCCCATAATCAGATTGGACCTCTGGACATCAACTCCACTAGACTTTAAGGTCCTAGAGATCAGAAACCATGTCTCATTCATCCATCTTCAGATCTCCTGTAGTTATACAGTATAGTATCTGAAACACAAGTAGTGCTCAGTCTATGTTTCTTAAATTCCACCAACTGAAGGCCAATTTGTTACTTGGATGCTGAACTTTGCCTATTTCCCATGGTTTGGTCTGACCACCTGGACTGTGAACTAGCTCAGCTTTGCTCTGAGAATTCACAAATTCTAGCAGAGAATTTGCTCTGAGAATTAACTGAGCATACACACTTTCTACTCAAACCAGTGGCTGGCCCTGGGTCCTAAGCCTACTTGCTACTCCAGCCCGCCTGGCCCTGGCATTTGGCCCTCTGCACCCATCCTCTCTCTTGGTCCCTGTTGACCTGGTAGTAATGCTCTCTGAAGAATTTCTTAATAACCTGTGTTACGAGTAACAGATTGGAAAATGAAGATATCATGAATCAAGTTGCTTCATGTAATCTGAGGTCCATGTTACAAATATGCATGGATTGAAGAAATTGGCGAGTCTATAGGGGTGAAAAAGGTATTTCTTACCAGGGCCTTTGGCTCTTCCAGGAAGCAGATGTCCCAGTCGGAATATAATTACTCTCTCATACTCCTGTACAACCTAAAAAGAAATTTAATACTTTTGAATCACTCCAAGAAAGAAAAAGAAAGTCTTCAAAAGGCCTTGGTATAAGAGTGATCCTAGGTATCAGAAATCTTTTGTTTTGAGAAGCAAGAAAAAATTTGTTAATACTTATGTTTCCAAAATCTACATTAAATAAGTATAGAATTTCAGAAACCAATGAAAAAGTATATTGGCCGTGTTAATTTTTGAGCCCATGGACAGAATTTTGATTAAAGAATCATGATTATCTAAAAAATAATGCTTCCACAATGTTCCCTAAATCAAAGAAATTACAGCATGTTTATCATGGCATGTTTAATGTTGTATTTTACTGTGATTTCTGCATTATTAACTTTTATATGTATTGATCATTACTATTTAACAGAAAGAGGGAGTATATTTTAATATCACTTCTTACATTTTGCTTCAAACTAGATTTCTTCTGAGGTTGCTTCAAAATGATTCAATTGGATTTTAATTTGTCAATTCTTATTGGTGATGTATTTAGAAAAATAGAGTGTTCCCTGAAAATGTGTAGAGCTATTTTTAAGTGACAAAAAAGGAGATTCTCTGTATAGAAATGTCTGTATATTAGAAGAGAGATGGGAAAGTTACTACACACTACTTTAAAAATAAACTTCACTTTCTGGCCTGGTATCAGAATCTGGGTTCTACTGCTTGCTTATCATTATCATAGTTGGTCTGTTTATTTATATTTATGCCCACCAGACTGTGAACTCCCTAACGATATGGAATTACTCATTTTTTCTCAGTGCCTAAAAAATGCCTGATACAAGGGGCCAGCCTGGTGGTGTAGTGGTTAAGTTCGTGTGCTCTGCTTCGGTGGCCTGGGGTTTGCAGCTTTGGATCCTGGGTGCAGACCTACACACTGCTCGTTGGACCGACACATTGCTCATCAAGCCATGCTGAGGCGGTATCACATATACAAAACAGAGGAAGATGGGCACAGATGTTAGTTTAGGCCTAATCTTCCTCAGCAAAAAGAGGAAGACTGGCAACAGATGTTAGCTCAGGGCTGATCTTCCTCAACAAAGAAATAAAAAATTTAAAAATAAATAAATAAACAAATATGCCTGATGCATAGTAAGTGTTCAATAAATATTTGTTGAATGAATGAAGAAATTATTTGTGACTGTAGACAAGTCTGTTTTCCTTCTTCATCCTCCCTCCACTTTAGAGAGCTCCATTGAATATAATTAGTCAAGTATGAAAATGTAATGAAGAGACCAAAAGTAACATATTTTGAAGTGTGCCTTTTTTTTTCCTCCCCAAAGCCCCTGTACATAGTTATATATTATAGTTCTAAGTCCTTCTAGTTCTTCTATGTGAGCTACTGCCACTGCATGGCTACTGACAGATGAGCGGTGTGGTTCCACGCCTAGGAACCAAACCCGGGCCGGGAGCATGCTGAACTTTAACCACTAGGTCATCAGGGCTGGCTCTGAAGTTGCTTCTTAAAGTAACAGGCTCCACTACCCCACTGTAAGTCCCTAGAGGTCAAGAATCATGTCTTGTTCATCCTTATGAGGTTTAGGACTCCTGTGCCTGAACACTGCCTTGCTAGTTGAAAAAAATCAATGAGAAAGAATGACTGGGTTTGGTTCCTGGAACATGCCCCAGCCATTCCCAGTTTCTTGATTCCCTAGCATTTCTTGTTTCTTTTCTGCTTTTATTGGAAGAAACAATTCTTCCCAGAGATGAAGAGGAGTCTTACTCCTTCAAGACCTTGCTCAAATGTAACCATCTAGTTCAACTTTAGTGTCCTCTACCTAATTGGCTTCTCAGGGCTTACTCTTAAGTGATCAGGCCTGAGAGCCTTCTGCACAAACTGTGGCCGAGTCAGTGTTGCACCTTATGGCAGCCATGCAGGTGCTCAGATCACCCTTCAAGAAGAACCTGATGTCAACTATATGCTGTCTATAGAAGACACACTTCAGATTCAAAGATACAAATACGCTGAAAGTAAAAGGATGGGAAAATATATACCACACAAAGAGTAACCAAAAGAGAGCAGGAGTGGCTATACTGATATCAGACAAAATGGAATTTAAAACAAACACACAAAAATGTTACTAGTGATAAAGAAGGACATTGTATAATGATAAAAGGGTCAGTGCATTAGGAAAGTATAAGAATGATAAACATATATGCACCTAAAAATTTACCTCCAAAATACATGAAGCAAAAATCAAAGAAAAAGAATGTAGAAATAGACAATTCAACAATAATAGTTGGAGACTTTAATATCCCATTTTCAGTCATTGATAGAACAACTAGGCAGAAGATCAACAAGGAAACAGAAGACTTGAAGAAGACTATAAACAAACTAGACCTAACAGACATCTACACATAACTCCACCCAACAACAGTGGAATACACATTCTTCTCAAGCACACATGAAACATCTCTAGGATAGACCATATGCTAGGCCATAAAACAAACCTCAATGAATTTAAAAGGATTGAAATCACACAAAGTATATTCTCTGATTACAATGGAATGAAATTAGAAATCAAGGAAACAAAGGAAATTTGGGAAACTCACAAATATATGGAAATTAAACAACACACTCTAAAATAACCAATGGGTCAAAGAAGAAATCACACAAAAAAAATAGAAAATACTTTGAGATGAATGAAAACAAAAACCAAAGATACCAAAACATATGGGATGCAACTAAAGCAGTGTTTAGAGGAAAATTTATAGCTGTAAATGCCTATAATAAAAAAAGAAGAAATATCTCAAAATAATACCCTAATCTTCTACCTTAAGACACTGGAAATTGAAGTACAAACTAAACCTAAAGCAAGCAGAAAGAAGAAAATAATAAAGATTAGAGTGGAAATAGATGCAATAGAAAATAGAAAAATAATAGAGAATATCAAGGAACCAAAAGTTGGTTCTTTGAAAAGATTAACAAAATTGACAAATATTTTGCTAGTTTGATCAAAAAAAGAAGAATCAAATTGCCAAATCAGGAATCAAAGAGGAATGACAGGGACATCACTATTGTCTTTACAGAAATAAAAAACATTATAAGAGAAAATACTATAAACCATATGCTAACACATTAGATAACTTGGATGAAATGGAAAAATTCCTATAGAAACACAAACTACCAAAACTGATGCAAGAAGAAAAGGAAAAACTGAAAAGATCTAGAAGTAAAAGATTGAATCAGTAGTATTAAAGTTTCCCACAATAAAAGTCCAGGACCAGAGGGCTTCTCTGGTGGATTCTGCCAAACATTTAAAGAGGCAGTAATATCAGTTCTTTACAAATTCTCCCAAAAGATAGAAGAGCAGGGAAATCTTCCCAACTCATTCTCTGAGGCCAGTATTATCCTGATATCAAAACAAGACAGAGACATCACAACATAAGAAAACTACAGACCAATATCCCTTATGAATATAGATGCAAAAATCCTCAACCAATTACCAGCACTCTGAATCCAGCAACATGTAAAAAGGATTATGCACCATAACCAAGCGGGACTTATCCTAGGAATACATAGTTGGTTTAATTCAATGAACGTAATACACCATATCAATAGAATAAAGGGCAAATACCACATGATCATCTCAATAGATGTAGAAAAAGCATTTGACAAAATCTAACACCGTTTCATGAAGAAGGAGAAGAAGAAGGAGGAGGAGAAGAAGGAGGAGTAGAGTAAGAAGAGCCCGCATGAGGAGTGCAATTAGCAGTGGCCCCAGCAGCATCTGCAGTGTTCAGGCCGTGGACATGCTCTTCTCTGGCAGCTTCAGCCAATAACTAAGAATGGCAAGCGTACTAGGGCCTGGCCATTTCTGCCCATCGTGAAACTTCTCTATGAAGCAAACTTCGCTCAGGAGTTCCCTTTCAGGCTGGCCAAGACTTTTTTGGAGCTGCACCACAGTCTGAGGCTCTTTCTGTCCAATCCTTCCTTCCCCTTCTCATAGTACAGGTCAGACCTGCATCATTGTCTGAAGGCTTTCCCTGCCTCTTCTTGTTCTCTCTCCCCTTAATCTGTCACAGACAATGCCTCCCAATAAGTTCCTTGCACTTCTAATTCCTTCTTGGCATGTGCTTCCCAAACTGACACAGGTCTTCATTTACTTCAAGGACAGGCAAGTGTAACCACCTGTGGGCCAAAGATAATTGTCATTCATGGTCTACAGAAGCTGCCTGACAAGTTTTCCAGAAGTGTCAGAAGCGGAAGTAGACATCATGATCTCTTCTGGGCCCATCTTTGTGTTACAGAGTGCAGATGACCTAGACATAGCCCCTGTCCTGAAGGGGCTCTCAGTCTAAGGGAAGAGATCAGGTGTCAACAAATATTGTACATGTGGTAAGTGCTGGAATGGATATGACAACAGAACGACACAAGAGCACAAGGAAGGGAAAGACAGTCTGGGAGAGTCAAGGAAGGCTTCACAGTTACTTTTGAGCAAGGTCTTCAAGGAGTAAGGTGAGTGGGAGTGAGGGCATTCCATGCAGAGCAGACAGCGTGTACCAAACTATAGAAGTAAGGGTGGACACGTTGCAGTCAGTGAGAGGTACCAGGAAATTACCTATTCGGTCCTCATGGAATCTCACCTTTATGCAGAACCAGACAGAAAAAGGGAAGGTCACGATGATGAAGAGCAGGGATATGAGGACAAGAAGCCACTCACAGGCCCCTAAACCAGAAGACTTGGTACCTTAAAAAAAAAAAAAAAGCAAAAGAATAATTATAATGGAACTTCACCATATTCATTGACTAGCAGAGCAGTTTGTAGACACTGCTGGAAATATTAGAATGAGCTGGATATCAGAGTGGTCAGTTCACAGGACCTGGGGCATTGCCTGTGTGAAGGGCTATTTGGGTCTATGGAAGGTAGAGCGGGCTCCTGGAAAGGCAGTAGTGGGGTACATTGGAACAGGCACGGAATCTGGGCAGAATCTGGGTTCCAGTTCTCGTTCCACCATTTTCTGTCAAAGCAAGGCACATGACCTCTTCGAACCTCAGTTTCCTCTTCCTGGTGCTGATGTTAGTTTTGCGCTGGTGCAGCTTGCATATCTGGCCTCTTCAAGTGATCTGCACATCAGTTTCATGATGACTTTTCCAGTTATTTCAGGCATGGAAATAAAATTTTCAGCCCCACCAATTAGTTATCCTCTTCCTTCCCATCCCTAACCTTTAGTCACCTTCTAGTCCTCTATGTGGTTTTTAAACTGACAAATAGAATTCCTTTGACCGGTATTCTAGTACCTGGAGATTAGAATTCTTGAGATTTACATAGCTATTACATTCAAATCATTTTCACTATCCACTTCTCCTTCCTTCCTACATTCAACAAATATTTATTGAGCACCTATATTGTGTCAGGCGCTATCCCAGGCCCTGAGGACACAACGTAAACAAGGCCCCCAGAAGCTTGTGTTCTTGCGATTGACTTTCCCTGATACCATTTTGTTTATCACCCAAGCAACCTGGATGTTCTGCACTCCAGTTCCTCGTCACTTTTTTACAGACACTAATGAACTAACTTCACCCCCATATAGGTGATTTTCAAAGACTGTCTGGGAAGCCACATCCTAGTCCAAAGAAGGGGCTCAGTCCCATAAGATTAGTGCCATATAGCCTAGGGGTGTAGTAGGCCATACCATCCAGGTTTGTGTAAGGACACCCTATGATGTTCGCACAATGATGAAATCATCTGACGACGCATTTCTCAGAATGTCTCCCCATCATTAAGTGATGCATGACTGTACTGTGTACTATATCCCACTCCTGGAGCTCCCCAACGTTCATCAGTGTATTGAAGCTAAGAGAATTCCTGTAGTGAAGAAGCATTCTTAGCTTTGTTTAACCTAGTATTTCCCAGACATTTGACCAGGTAGTGTTTTCTCTAAGGAATTCATGTTCTATAGAATTTATTTCTCACGCAACCTACTTTGGGAAGTGCTGCTCTTCAACATCGTTAGTTTTTACAATATTCTTCCTTAAGGGCCATAACAGTGTTATTGCATATTTAATTAGTTTATAAATATATTTCATTTGCCAGAGGTAACTATGATAATTAAAAATAAATAAATGCACATACAGACAAAACTACATTTTATAAGTGAAGAAGGTCCTCAAAATTCCTTCATAGAGTAGTTAGGGAGGTGAGGAGAGAACTAATATCTATACCCAAAACCTAACTTGAAGCTTTACTCACAAAATATTATTCTCTTAGAATAAGTTCCTTGAATATCCAATTTGTTTAGGTTAAGTGAATAGTGAAACATTAGAAACATTAAATGTTAAAGCAGGAAGAGCCTTTAGATACATATAAGCCAAGAATGCCCATTTTGCTAAAGTGAAGCTCCTTTTCATTTCTCCCAAGTCTTAAGTAGCCTGGCTGTGGGAGTGTGGAGCTAAGTGCGGAGGAGGAGGGGATTTTGCTGCCTCTTGCTCTCTTTTCCTCCAGGAGCCACAGAAACCTCTCAGACAAAGGCTCAGCAAGGCTGCCTCGTCCTTAATGGGACTTCTCATGCATTGCTTGGGGTCTTGGGCTCTAGTCACTTTATAGCTGGAGAGACTGAGTGAACCCCGCCAAGGTGAAGCTACTTGCCCAAGGTCACAGCTGGTTGGTGGCAGTGCTGGGACCATGACCAGAAATCAGTGGCAGTGCCATGCAAGGATGGGCTTTTCAGTCAGACTGTCTTACTCTGGAATTCTGGTTTCTCCACTTCCTAGCTGTAGGTCTTGGGCAAGTCACTTAATTTCTCAGCATTTTTCCTCATCTGTGATGCGGGAATGATAATACTGAGTAAAACACCTAGTGTGTGCCTGGCACATAATAGGGGCTCCATAAATGGGGGCTCCCTTCCTTGCTTACCCCACCTATGTGGTCTGAAACACAATCCTTACAAGACCTTTAACCTCAGCATTACTGTAGCATTGAACCCAACAATGCTTTAATGATCAAAAGTTTCTGACTGATGAGAGGGCATCAATTAGGCAAACCAGCATTAACATGGTCCACAAACTATACCCCAGCTGCAGGAATCTTTCTCAAGTCATAGCTTTCAATGCTCCAGCATATACTGCATTGCTGGCAGACAGGAAATGTTAAAATTTCATAGCCAGCAGAAAGCAATATAACACATTTTCTTTATTTACTTTCCTTTAAACCTCCCTCATCCTACACTTAAGGAATTGTTTTCTTCCATTCATTATAAAAAGGATCGGAAGCAGATAAATTTGTTCTTAAGAGTTGCTTCACCTGCAGAAGCCAAAGAGACCCCTTTGCTGGTAATTCTCTCCTTTGGTCTAACTTTCCTCTTTGAGCATGCAAGGCTTCTGCTCTCATTAAGTATGTTCTTTGCTGTAGGCTCTGTGCAAAGTGTCTGGGGCGTTTTATCTCATTTTATCCTCACAATCACCCTCTGAGGTCGGTGCTGTTGCTACCCCCATTTGATAGATGGTTAAGGCCCTGACTGTGATCACCTGGCTGGCTGAGATTTAAACTGGGGTCTGGCTTTTCTCTACTTGGCTCTGCTGCCTCTACTTTTCAGAAAGAATGATCATCCCAAAGAAAGTTTAAAATGCTTTTAGGTACGACTGAGGGGTGAGGATGAGTAGAGAAGAATAAGCTTCATAGTGGCCCAGACCCACCAGCTCACGCATGTCTTTACTGAAATTAGGTGCCCATATACTCTTCCATGGCCACCGAAACTAGCTGCATGGTTCCTTTTTCATGTTGATGAGTCCCCAACCTGGACCTCACTCCCTCCCACTTCCCATCCATGGCTGGACCCTGAAACTAACGGTACAGTATTTAGTTGATATTATTTGTATTTCTTCTGATGTATTTGGGTCTCCACCACTGTGGGGTCGGTGGGTCCTAACTCATGCCTTTTATTTCCTGGGACTCTGAGCAGGTCCAGCAGGCTGATCTCGGTGGCTCTCGGTGCAGTGACTCGTTGCACCTTATCTGACATTCCTCGGGTACCACTTGCAAAGGCCGCTCGCCCTCCCTGGTTCCTGACCTGCCCGCTGTACCTTCCTCCGGCCGCTCGCTCTCCAACAGCACCGCCACCTCTGTGCCCTCCTCGCCGGAGCCTCGGACCTCATCCACGTCCACCACGGTGGCTGCCGGCGCTGGGGGTTCCTCCGGGCTCCCCGCCCGCCCTACGCCTGGCCGCTCGCGCCCGGCATCCCGGTGCCCGCGGCCTCCGCCGCCCCTCTCGGCCTTCGCCCTCTTGTTCTCCTTGTGCGCGGACCCGCCGCCTCTCCCGGGGGCCTCCCTGGAGGAGCTCCGAGCCCTCCTCTCCATCCTCAGTGTGGCCTGTCCCGGGAGCGCGGTCCCTGAAGAGTCGCCGGCCGGGCTGTGGGGGCGTCCCGGGGAGGACCTTAATGACCGCGGGCGGGGGCGGGGCGGGGGCGGGCGCTCTGCTGCCGGAAACCCGGGGGCTGTTTCCCGTAGGCGCTGTAGGCAGAACCCACCACCCGAGACCGGCGCATCCTGCAGCAGTGAGTGGGTGTGAGAACCCGTGTCCGGATTCCTGATGTGTAAATGTGTTTCTATAGGCGGAGATTTGGGCCGGAAAGAAGATGCAGTTACCTAAAATACCACAGAGGCCCGCAAATCGCTGAAGGTGTGATGGCGCTTGGTTTTATGATTTGTAAACAGCGTAAGAAATAGGGTATGTGGTCCTCGTGTAATGCTAGAGCGTCTAAGGGGACACAAAAGGTCATCGAATTAGGGTAACTTTTTTTTTTTTGTGAGGAAGATCAGCCCTGAGCTAACATCCTTGCTAATCCTCCTCTTTTTGCTGAGGAAGACCGGATCTGAGCTAACTTCCATTGCCAATCCTCCTTTTTTTTTTTTTCCCCCAAAGCCCCGGTAGATATAGATATGTACATATAGCTGCACATCCTTCTAGTTGCTGTATGTGGGACATGGCCTCAGCATGGCCGGAGAAGCGGTGCATCCGTGCGCGCTGGGGATCCAAACCTGGGCCACCAGTAGCGGAGCGTGGGCACTTAACCGCCAAGCCACGGGCTGGCCCTAATTAGAGTAACTTTAAGGCGAAATTAGAAACTTCTCCCCACCCCTGTTACTCCCTTAGAGTCTTCCCAACGGCGTCTTTTCCCTCTCCCCCTCATTATTTTATATGCTGGTCCTACTGTTCTGCTAATGCTTTAAGCAGTAATGATGTTGGCTGACTACTCCTGGGAGGATTTACATTTTAAAAGAGGGGAAGGAAAACTCATTTAGACCTCTTTCCTCCCTCTCTCTCTCACATACACTCTCCCTTATTATTTATATATCTTCACTTTTATTAATTTGTTATTATTTTTACTAATGCTTAAGCCTGTCGATGATGCAATGCTTTTTGAAAATCATAGAAGGGAAGGGATCTGGTTTAACGTTTGTTTTTAGGAAAGGGACATTTTGTCCTTGGCTAGCCCTGTTCCCATGCTTCCCTGATGCAGACAGGAGTTTTGCTTTTCCAGGGTTCACGGGCCATGCTCCATCCAGCAGCAAACTGGGGGAGCTGCCCCACCCACTTCTGAGGAACTTGAAACATTGGATAGATTTCTCTTTTACTCTCTGTTAATAATGTTTCGCACTGAACGGGAACGGGAGGTTGGTCTAGGTAACCCTTCAAACTCAGATTTATGATTCTACTCAAATAGCTCAGATCACATGATGGTAGAAATAAGGATCGAAGGCTTATTTTTTATTTTTCAGTGTTTACTGAGTTCACCCTCAGTTCACAGAAACAAGTGATAGCTTTTTTACCTCTCAAAAACCTTATTAATGAATGAGGACCTGAAGTAACTGAAGTGGGTCTGGAAAAACCATTCCACTACCTTTCTTCCATATATTCCAAGTTAGGCCTTTGGGAATAAAGTAATCAGAAGATTAGTAATAAAGTAATTTAAATAAATTTGTTTTTTACTCTCTAAACCCGATTATTGCGAGGGCTACATAAGGGAGGGTCAACGTTTCCTCCAAGTGCCGGCCTGGATTAATAGCTCCTGCCTAGAGTACTACATTGAGAAAAATTCTGAAGCTGCATTTGGCCATAGAGGGAAAAGTATCATGATTACTTAATATTCACTCAAATTAATATTTGCTATTAAACATAGCTAGTTACTTGATCATCCTGTAGATTTTTCTGCTCATGAAAGCATAAAACCGTTTGTAGCATTTATTGATTTTTTTTCTCAGCCTTTGATTGTTACAGATTAATTTGATCTAGAGTCCTAGCTATAGATTCTTAAACTAAAATTGTACCTCAGTTTTTACTCCAAGAATCAGCAGGATATCTGGCTAAATGATAGTCTCAAAAATGTACCCTGGAGGCTGGCCAGGTGGCATAATGGTTAAGTTCGCGCACTTGCTTTGGTGGCCCAGCGTTCATGGGTTTGGATCCTGGTCATGGATCTACGCACTGCTCATCAAGCCATGCTGTGGCGGCATCCCATATATAAAGTAGAAGAAGATGGGCACAAATATTAGCTCAGGACCACTCTTCCTCAAGCAAAAAGGGGAGGATTGGCAACAGCTCAGGGCCAGTCTTCCTAACAACAACAAAAAGTACCCTGTTTCCCAATAACATACAGGGATTTCTTGTAGGAGAAAAACTGATGAGAAAGGCTCTACTTGGTGTTGGAGCCCATGTTGGGCTCTTGTTCTCTGTCTCCTTTGCTGTGGGACCACTGACAAGTTATGTAATCGTGACTTCCTTTTCTATATCCTTATATAACAGTAATATAAGCACCTGCTTATAGCATAAGTCTGTTGGGATTAGGAATGACAATGACAGTGTGTGAGAAAGTGCATCACATTCCATGGTGGAAAGGTCAGCACTGCATCTCTGAAAGGTGGAGGAGTTGGGGAGTGCTGAGGCAGCAGCATGGGTCTAGCTGGCTGGCCTTGTCTGCTCTTATACTGATGTTGCTGTTTTCTTTTAAATTCCTTTTTAATTGAAAGTGTTGGTCATCCCTTGTTGAAAATGTTATATGTACACATTTTTAAACCCTGAATACTTTACTCCTTGTTTGGATTTGTTATGAGACTGACATCTGTGGGAGCAGGGTTCCTGGAAGAAGGGGAGGACCAATTAAAGTTGTTGACTTTTGAGTTTGTTGCCAAGACAAAAGGTCATGAAAGATTTCAAGGCTTTTTAAATTATTATACTTATTCCCATTTAGTATTTTGAAATTTTATATCCATATGGATAAATGAAGGATTGAATATTGATTTATATGAATTATTTAATGGAAAACCTGGAATTCATCGGCACCAGATAAAATTGCAAATCTTATCATTTTAGACCTGGCAGAAACTCACAGGGACCCATGAAATTTGACTTTCTCAATCTGTAGATGGCAGAGAGACCAACCAGGAGGGCACAGCAGTGCTCTAGGAAAGTGATGCTGATGAGAGCTGGATCCGAGGCTTTGGCAGTGGGGATGGCCTGGATTCAGGAAACATTTCTGAGGCAGAGAATCAACAGAATTTGGTGGCCACCTGGGGTTATAGAGGGGGAGTAGTGAGAGGATAGAAGACTTGAGAAAGATGGAGATTTCAACCTTTGTAGGCTGAGCAATTGGTCATAACTGCAGGCATCTCTGGCAGACCCACTTCCCCTAACTATACTGACCTGAAGCATCTTATGTTCCCACCTTCTTGGCCTGGAGATGCAATTGTCAGCTTTTTAGGTGCAGTGGTAAGATAAGACTGCCTTGACTTTTCTCTCATTAATTCACTCCGTAGATACTTAGCACCAACTATATGTTTAGCACTGCTCACTTCTGAGGATGTAAAGGGAGCACATGGTACATGCCCTGGAGGAACTCATAGTCTAACAGGGAGAGACAGATATGTAAACCGACAGATAGGTGTGATCAAGTGTATATGTTATGACAGAAGGATCTACGTAAGGGTTTCTCCACCTCAGCACTGTTGATATTTTGGACTGGATAATTCTTTGTTGTTGGGGGCTGTCCTGTGCATTATAGGATCTTTAGCAGCATCCCTGGCCTCTACCCACTAGATGCCATAGCACCCTACCCCCAGTTTTGATGACCAAAAGTGTCTTCTGACATTTTCAAGTGTCCCATGGGGGCAAAATCAGTCCTGGTTGAGAACCGCTGATCAATATGGTACCATGAGGACACAGAGGAGAAGGTAAGTAATTCTACCTGAGTGGAGTCAGAGGAGCCCCAGTTTGGGCCATATTAAGAAAAGGGTGGGGCCGGCCCCGTGGCTTAGCGGTTAAGTGCGCACGCTCCGCTACTGGCGGCCCGGGTTCGGATCCCTGGCGCGCACCGACGCACCGCCTCTCTGGCCATGCTGAGGCCGTGTCCCACATACAGCAACTAGAAGGATGTGCAACTATGACATACAACTATCTACTGGGGCTTTGAGGAAAAAAGAAAAAGCAGGAGGATTGGCAATAGATGTTAGCTCAGAGCCGGTCTTCCTCAGCAAAAAGAGGAGGATTAGCATGGATGTTAGCTCAGGGCTGATCTTCCTCACAAAAAAAAAAAAAAAGAAAGAAAAGGGTGGGTAATCCTCAGGTGGGCTTTAAGAACGGGTCTTCCATAAGAGGGAGCATTTCAAAAGATAGCACTTCAGTGGCTTGACAAATTAGCAAAAGAAGAGACCAGAGAGGTAGGCAGCCCAAGAAATGAAAAGCCCTTTATACCGTATAAGAGATGTAAAAATTTGGATTTTATCTTATAGGCAAAAGAAGCCATTGAAGCATTTTAAGCAGGGAATAATATGGTCAGATTTGCAATTTAGAAAAGTGCCTCTGTGGACAAGGTGGAAGGTTAATTGAAATGGAAAGAGGATGGAGGCAGAGAGACCAACGAGGAGACTGTGGCAATAATCTAGGTGAGAGGGGGGAGATGAGTTGTGTTTAGAGGAAAAGGTGGTGACTCTCAGTACTCTCGTCAAAGTGACTGGGTGAATGGGGCTGACATCCAACTGACGGAGTACAAGAGAAGAAACAGATTTTGTTTAAAGGTGGGTGAGCACAATAAGTTCAGTGTCAGACATATTGAGGTAGCAGTGTCTATAGGATATCTGTCTGGAAATGCACAGTAGACAGTTGACTGTTTAGATTTGAAGCTCAGGACAGATGGTGCTTCTGTGACCAAGATCTTGATCTTTCATCAGCTGCCACTTGTGGCCTCAGCTTCCTCTGCTGGGTCCTCAAGAGACACGGGCACAGACTCTCCAACCAACGTGCTTGTTGCTGCCTTGAGCTTTGGATTACCCCCTAACTGCTCCCCACCGTGGCCAGTTGGGTTAGATGCTTTGTAGGCCCTGTAGGCTCTCTTGGCTCT